CCCACTGTTGCAAAAGCACTTCTTCATAACAGGTCATCTGATTCTTAAGGTCTTTCTCTGTTTTATTTTAGGGTCTTTGCCTTACAATGTAAAGTGCTACGAGGTGACTGTTGTTGTGAGGTTTCAATAGTCTAAATGTTATGATTCTGTCAGAATGAGATTCCTGAACAAATGTAACAATTATAAATAAATAATGTCGCACGCATGTAAATGAATGTCAACACTGCTCCCCCTGCTGAATACACAAGACATTACCACTGCTTTTTCTTAGCGTCATCATTAGTCCTTCTTGCATCTTCCATGTCATAGACGGGGATATCATTACGGTGGCCCATCAGCCTGTAATCGGTGAGGATTTCTTCAGTGATTTTGCTGTATCTGTACAAGTTGATTAATTTACGTTTCTTGCTGAAATAAATCAACTAAGCACAAAAAGTACTTTGTCTCACTCCAAATAATGCTGAAACTTGGTTTTGTGGAATAACAGGTTGAAGTTGCTAGATCTGTCTAACTGCTGTATCAGGGTCCATGCTCACAGATTCTGCTAGTCAGGAGCCGATCAGGCACCTGATGTCATCACCTGGTCTTCTGGAAGCTAAAAATTATGACACAATAGCAGAATAAGCTGTTTGTCGTGGATGCAATCTACATCCTTAACTCTGCTGCTCAACCCATGAATAAAATTTTCCTTATAAATGTGCTTCCATTTAAAGAGAAATAAATAGGCTTTGCAATGGTATAGGATTTATTGTCAAAAAGCATTGTTACAACACACAAATAAACAACCAAACACAAATTGAATGACTTTTCTGGAGCATGTTCTCTAAATGTAATTTTTTTTTTGTTTTCTTATAAAAATGTACAAAGAAAAACTGAAAAAAGACAGAACGCTCTCTCATGCTGCTTTTGTTTGTTACTGATTATTTCAAAAAATGTAATGAATGAAATCATTACATTTCAAATTTAACATGCATTAATAAACAACAGTACTGTGATCTCAAAGAACAATGATCAGAACAGATCAGAACAATGATCTCGAAGAAAAGGAGCACACTGAACTTTAACCATCATTAAATGTAACATCAGGGTTTCTCTGATACAATTAGAAGAATAATGTAATGAACTGAATAAACAATGCTGAGAGTTTTTAATACTCTGGACAGAAAATGCTAATTTGAATATTGGTCATCTTTTCACTGAGGTGTTGTAATGGTTTGACTCCTGGTCAGTGTGAGCTCTACCACCAACACACTGCTATGACTCTGTCCCACATTTTCTAAATATAACACTTTTAGGCAACATAAATTATCACGTGTCTCATTAACAAAATCTTTTCCCACAGATTCTGCAGCCTTCACATAACCATGTCACCTGTGTGTATTCATGTGAACTTTTAATCCTGATTTGTAAGGGAATCTTTTCCCACAAGTGCTGCAGCTATATGGCTTCTCACCTGTGTGACGCCTCATGTGGCGATTCATGTGTATCCATTGACTAAATTGTTTCCCACAGGTGCTACAAGGATAAGGTTTCTCACCTGTATGAACTCTGACATGTTTGTTCAGGTAGGTTGTACAGTTAAAGGTTTTACCACAGGTGCTACAGGAATATGGCTTCTCACCTGTGTGAACTCTTGTGTGAGAGGTCAATTGTGAGTTGGAAGCGAACGCTTTCCCACAGGCGCTACACAAAAATGGCTTCTCACCTGTGTGAACTCT